TAACCGAGTACTTAACGTAAATAACCTTCCTTTTAGTTGTTTCTTCATTTTTCTTCCTTACACTCTCTCTCTCTCTCTCTCCTTACACTCTCTCTCTTTATGGTTTTCTAATTGAGCGAGGGGAGAATGGATACCGTAATAAATAAATAAAGAAATTTCCTAAATTGGTTTTATCGAACAATTTTTGCAATTTGTAATGTGCCATTGCTGCAATTCTTGTTATTTATTTTATGCATCTGACGAAATTTCGCTTTGCCTTAACAATACAAAAACAATAAATTTTATAAAAATGTGAGAGGCAAAGGAAATTTAAAAGTCACGCTGTTTATCAAGCTCGCTTGTAAAATTGCTTTATTTCAGCAGCTGTTTATTTGATGTCACGATTAGTAAGATCGCAGAGATCTTTGAATAATTTAAAATAACAGAGTAGTGTATGTAAAAAGATCGAAATCTCGCGTTATTATCATTTAATTCTAGCTACTGAAATGTTTGGTTTTTATGCAAGATTATTCGAGTAGCAATTAACATTCTAATCTAAAGCTTCCGCAATTTTACGAATAATCATACCCTTTGCCCCATGTATTTTGTATTTATAATTTGCATTATATAATAATTTATTAATTTCTCAAAAACAATATTTTTAATGGATATTGTAATTTTTTTTCCAGACGGAAATAGCGAAGAGGTTGAACGCCATCGTCGTACAGATCCTACCATTTCTTTCTCAGGAGCATCAGCAGCAAGTAGCCTCGGCACTCGACAGAGCCAAACAAGTGACCATGACCGAGCTGAACACTATTATCGGGGTGAGTGAACGCGAATGATGGCTTGTTACAAAGATGGATTCTTCCGCCGCCGACGATGCCGCCGCCACGAATATCGCCGTCGTCGAATCGCGCTCGCGACATACTCGATCGAGAATACATAGCGAACTGATTCACGTGCGTCCCAGCGTGAAAAGCATTCGCGGGGGTGGGCGGAGAACCCCTGCGGGCACGCTACGCTGGAAGCCGATGCACGTCCGAGGAATCCAAAAGCGGACGGGACGGATACGATCCTGGCGAATCCCGAATCCTCCTCAATATTGCTCGAGCACTCAATTTCCTCCCTATTAAGCCACCGGCTTCTCTAACCCCCGTTTCGTTCTCTTCCTCCGCTGCTCCGTTCCGACCCCGTCGTCGATCACCCCCTCGATCCCTCGCACCCTTATTCCTCGCCGCATCCGCTCTCACCACCTATACAGCAACTCCGTGTCTCTCTCTCTCTCTCTCTCTCTCTCTCTCTCTCTCTCTCTCTCTCTCTCTCTCTCTCT